GAATCGCCGGAGTCGACGAGTCGAGGAAACGGATATCGATTCCGTTTCGAGGAAACGCGGTTTGGAGCGACGAACGAAAACGCGTCTCGATTCGACGAACTTGTATATCGGCTGGTATCGATCCGTGCGTAACGCGCGTTTCTTTGTATGTACGCGTTCGCGCGACCGTGATGGCACCCTCGGGAAGTTGCGGGCATTCCGCGCGCGGTAACGCGACCAAACGAATCGTTCGCGAATCACCGACGAGCCATGAAATCTGCGGACGTTTCAAAAGGACGCGCGAGAGCGTGAGTCATTTTCGCATAATTTAAGTCGCGGCGACCGCTTTGGCTCGATGTATCAACTACGGTGACTAATCGCGTTATAGTTGCACGAGCCGAACCGTCGCCGACGTCGTCGCGCGGACACCACGAACTTTTCTTCGAGAAGGATTCGACAGCCACGAATTCCTCGGAACGAAGCTAACGAACGCGGAAAAGGAAATATACGGTCACCGCGTTATCTTTGGCGATTAGTCGAACGCGATCCAACAGAGCCAACTAACGCAGGACGTGTTCCGTTTTTTCTGTTTCAGTAACCTCTGGGACCCAACATAAATATCTAATATTAATACTAAACGATACGATCGATTATTTTAATGAACAGCGAATGGAATGCGTCATGCCGCACGAGTCGCGCCGGAACTGCCGCAAGCTTGCCGCGTGACGTTCGATGAGAAGCAACTACATCAGCAACAGCAACAGTAACAGCAACAACAGCTATCATATTTCAGTCGTCGTTCTCTCCTCTTCGATTCGACTCGATATATATTCGGCAACGAACGCGTACGCGATCTTCGGAAATGCTTACACTTACACGAACGCGCAAGCGCACGCGTACGCGCACACTCATACATACAAATACGAATATACACGCTAGCTACGTGTACGATGCACGTTTACGCGGTACCAAATTATCGGTTGCGAGAAGGTCGCGCGAATCGCGCGATCGGTGAATCGATCTATCCATCGTTTTCGTTCCTTGGATTTTTGTTTCTTTTTCGATTCGACACCACCGGGTCTCTCGATTCCTCGCGAAAATCGGCTTTTCACCGTTCGGAAACGAACGGCCGGCGATTGG